ATTTCCTTAAAATATATCTCATATCTGATGTATATTTGGTTTGTTTTCAATTTTGCGCAAAGCTACACGAGGGCTATTTGCACTTGCCGTCCCTAATTTAGCAGTGAAAGACTAAAGGGAAGGCAACTCTTGGGCTATCCTTTTACCAACGAATAGTGGGATTGACCATCACCTTATAACGTCCCCCCCCCCCCAAGGCTGAAAGGGCGAGCATGTTTGGTGGGACCGGGATTCAGACAAACGATCCTCAGATTACGAGTCAAGCGTCCTAACCATCTGGCCATGCCGGGCCACGCAAATTTAGTAATGATAGACAAGAGGGAAGACAGCTAGTCAATAACACCCACCGCCAACTCTTGTGCTACGTTTTACCAACAAATAGTTGGACTGACTGTCACATTATAATGCCCCAGTGGCTGAAAAGGTGAGCATGTTCGGTGACAGGGATTCGAACCCGTGACTCTCAGATTGCTAGTCACCACCAGGCTATGTTTGTAGTATATTTAATATTCATTCGAATGTTCTGTTTCCACTTTCCAGTTTAAAGTTGTACTTTTATTACAATTCCACGGTCATCAGATAAAAAACTGACAAAGACTTTTTTTTAAATTTTGAGCTGTTTATCAAAACTGACTATTAGAATATTAATTAGCTGTTACCATGTTTGAACTGCATTATAAACGAACTAGGGAAGCGTTTTTAACATACACACAGCCTGACCGTCCAGAGTATGTGTATTATATATACAAGGGCAATCTTTCATGTTTCTGCATCATACGGCCTTTTACTCGGTGCTGATGAACTACGAAATTAATTCTCTATTAGTGTGCCAATTCTTGGAACCAAAATCAACAAACGAGTGTTATCCGAGTTACCTAGCTAATAATACTGTACAAAAACTCCACGTTAACTAAAGTACAAAAATAATAAATATTTCCCCTTGAAATATAAGTTATTACACATTTATAAATTGTATCAGTATTTATGGTAAAGCTAGTAAGACCACATGCTGCCGGCACTAGTTTCGAAGTATTGAGTAGCGAGTCAGCATTACCGTACAACTCGCCATCAACTCTAAGGGATTGACTGTCACTCTTACAACGCACGCACAGCTTAGACTGCGGGGAAGAGTTTGCGGCAAGCACGGATTCGAAACCAACTACGAAATTCGCCAAATCCGTGCCTTATTTGTAAGTTACACCATCGTTACTACAGTTACTAAATGACTAAGATTTAAAGCCTAAGTTATATTAAAAATTATAAGTATATAGGCTACACAAAAGATCAGTAATCTCACCTGTGACCTACTGTCTGTGTCATCGTCTCCTTTCAGACTACCTAGAATAATAACAAAAAAATTATATACATAAATATGCACACATAGTTTCAAACCTTTTATGAAATAAAACTAAGTTATCATTTAAGTTTTATCCCCTGGTGGGACAGCGGTAAGTCTACGGACTTGTATCGCTAAAATCCGGGGTTCAATTCCTCGCGGTGGACACGACAGATAGCCCAATGTGGCTTTGCTCTACAATATACAAACGAACAATTAAGTTTAACTTACGTCTTTAACATGTTGGATACTCCTTTATAATATATTACTCTACATTCTGGTGCCAAATTCCTGAAGTGGCTAGAAGCAATCACAATAACCTAGAATCAAATGTCGCAAAGAAATTTTATATTTGCAATATCACGGTCTGTGAACCACCGGAGGGTCACGGGGCACATTACTAATAGAGCCATGTGACTCTCTGGTGGGCCACAGGGCAGTCAACGTGTTATTGATGTGGAGAAACGCAAGACAAAATAGGTTTTTTTTTGTTTGTAGTAAAGCACAAAGCTACACAACAGGCTATCTGTGCTCTGCCCAGCACGGGTATCGAAACCAGGTTTCTAGCATTGTAAGTCCGCAGACATACCACTGTGCCAACTGGGGGACGACACAATAGGAAGAAAGTCGGTTTCTTCATATAATTCAACGTTCCTAAACACTATCCATTAAAGTAGGCGTGTGTGTGTGTATAGTCTTTCTAATACCTTCATATATGTATAGAAAGTTAATACTTAATCATTTAATCAAAAATTAAAAGGAAAGACTGCGTTATAATCAGTAAACTCAAACCTGTGATAAACGACATTTTAATGAACAAAACAGGGTTGAACAAAAGACAATACATAAATTAAAAGGATCCCCCAGGCTATAATGTGGGATAAAGCTTGTACCCTGGGGGTTCCTTTTAATTTATGTAGTGTCTTCAATTTTTTTTTGTTCGGCCCTGTTTTGTTCATTTAAATATCATCTCAATCTGTAACAAACCTAGGAGGTAGAAAAAATAACTACATTTCATCTAAAATATTTAAATTAAAAAGAGTGGGGGTGGGTGGGTACGTGAAACTGCACGAGAGAATTGTAAAAATTAATTACAAAACAGTATTATTATTCTTTTAATATCGTAGTTAAACATTTTTATTCAAATTTCTCAAATATTATAGATGTAACTCGGGTTTCTAGCGCAAAGCTGTATAACGGGACTGTTCATCGGTGGGATCGAATTCAGAAGTTTAGCGATATAAGTCCTTAAACGTATCGCCAAGCCATTAGAGACGGCTAGCGCAGATAGCCCTCGTGTAGCCTTGTGGTGATGACTAGCTGCCTTCCCTCTAGTCTTACACTGCTAAATTAGGGACGGCTAGCGCAGATAGCCCTCGTGTAGCCTTGTGGTGATGACTAGCTGCCTTCCCTCTAGTCTTACACTGCTAAATTACAGACGGCTAGCGCAGATAGCCCTCGTGTAGCTTTGCGCGAAATTCAAAAACAAAACAAACAAAGATGTAATTATCGTCCTGAAAGGTATGAATTATTTACGAATAACAAAAGAGGATTATTACCTTGATTTCAGTGACGTCGTCATTGTGTGTGTGTCATTTTATACACATACATATATACACACACTTTAAAATGTAGCAAGATATCTGATGTTGAAATCTGCAATCGTCCAGTTCTAGTTACCCTATACGTCTTATATACAGGGAAGTAAATTTCCCCAGAGACACTACTTATCAAGTCAGAACCATAAGTTTGGTTAAGGAAAGTTTGGACATGGTTATAGAAGATCTAAAATAAACCTTCCGTTAATATTCTCAACTAACATACAAGCCTGCCTTAAAATGAAACTACAGCGAACATCATCTGGTCTGATTTGTGTGCACTCAATGACTTTTCATGTTAAAAGGTAAAATGTCACTTTTAATTCTATCATAAAAGCTAGTTCAAGACGCCCGTTTGTTTGTTTCTGTGATTTTTGCACAAAGCTACTCGAAAGCTATCTACGCTAGCCGTCCCTAATTTTAAAGTGATGGACTAGAGCACGAGTTCTCAAACATTTTCGTCTGTGGACCACTTCGGCGGGGCAAAAGACCCCGCGAACTACCTACCCAGAATAAGCCTTAACCAAAATGGCGCCCCGGGAGGAATAAGCGTTTTTCGCCTTATACATTTTTCAACCTCTTTATTTAATTCTTTTTTCTCTTCATCGACTTCATACGCTAGATTCTCAGCATTTTCGCACCACTTCAACTATACTACTGATAAAATAGGCATGTATATATATATATATATATACACATATATATGCAACATATGTAAAAATAAGGCTTAAAGAATCACAGAAAAACTAAGTGCGCACTTTTTTACGCATACCCTAAAGACTGTATTCATGAAATCGAAAATTTTTACGAGGGGCTATACCACACCTAGGGCAGTTGCGTCTCAGGCAGTCGCCCGGCCCTGCACCTACCAGTCCTACCCCAATCACTTTCAATTTCATCAGTGACTTGCATTTTGGACCAGCCCGCTGACCACACTTTGAGAACCACTGGATTAAAGGGAAGGCAGTTAGTCAAAACCACCCACCGCCAACTCTTGAGCTACTCTTTACTAACGAATATTGGGGTTGACCATGACATTATAATAACGGTACTGGAACCTGCAAATCTAGTGTCCTAACCACCACGCCTTCAAGATGTCAGCTTAACTGCTTAATTCTAAATGATAAGATTTCGTTGAAACAAAATAGCCATTGAGAGTACCGTAATTAAAAACTTGTAGAAGTTATTTCAAGTTTATGTAAGCTACACCTTTAAAAACAGGATTACCCTTCCGACTTATTACTGAGCCAATGAGGGGGTTTGTTTTTGCTTGTTTTTGAATATCGCGCAAAGCTACACTAGGGCTATCTGCGCTAGCCGTCCCTAATATAGCAGTGTAAGACTAGAGGGAAGGCAGCTAGTCGTCTCCACTCACCGCCAACTCTTGGGCTACTCTTTTACCAACGAATAGTGGGATTGGCCGTAACGTTATAACGCCCCCACGGCTGAAAAGGCTGAGCATGTTTGGTGGGACGGGGATTCGAACCCGCGACCCTCAGATTGCGAGTCGTGCGCCCTAACCACCTGGCCATGCCGGGCACCCCCAATGAGGGGGAGGGGACATGCAAATTATTAGTATATTAATCCGGTGATCCACTTTGCAACGATAATTTTCGATTATGAGAAAAATTCTCACAGACGGACAAGTTATAATTGTATTCACTCAACGAGAAAAGAAGAAAATACTAAAATACTCTGACTTTATGCAAAAAAAATGTGATACTCTGTCGTACATATCGTGATTCGAGCATGTTATCATCGCCAGATATTGCTATTCCAGAATTTCAACTTAAGATGTTAAAATACATGGCGTGTCTTTTATATATAAATATATTCCTTTGACGTCATAAGACTTCTAAACTTATTCATTGTGTCACCATTGCCAAATCTGGTTTCCTGTAAAAGATGATTGGCGCTCGCTCTCTCTTCTGAGCAAGTTGCGTGTTTGGTTGAAGATAACGAGTCCAAAAAAAGAGTACACTTGACTTTGCTATTGTGCGGTAGATGGGACGTGTGTGCGTGTTTATGTACGTGGATGATGGTTAAGTCCAGCTAATCTAGATGGCACTTCTCAACTGTTCTTATAAATGTTTGTTTGTTGAAATCGCGGATCTCAAGTTTAACCTAACCTCGAGTATTAGAATTAATATGTCAAGAGCCGATAGAAGCAATACCCTCGAGCTTTTGGAAATTTTCAGAACAGAGACCACATGTGTAATCAAAGGATCTTGGGAAAGGGTCTCCGGACTGGATCCACGGATTTACATGAAAACTGGCATGGAAATATCAACGAACGTTCAAACATAATTATCTGCGTTTACATATTCGAAATCATAATGCAGTCCCCAAATGGCGAATCAAGAGGGTCTGGAGACTTTCATGATTGAATACACGGATTTAAATAACAATTAGCGTAAATATACAGATGGTTGATTAAAAAAATATATATACACTTTTATATATTTAACATTTTTAAATTTCACCCATAATCAATTTTTTAGGGGGGGGGGCTTTCACAACTAGATGCACGGAGTTACTTGAAAAGAGAAATGTGACATGGGTTAATTAAGTGGAGTAATTACGTTAAATACATCCCAATTATTGTTGTAAGTTGCTTTGAATAACCTATAACACATTTAAATCATTAATCGTAAAATGTTTTTTCTATATCTGATTTTTCAAATACTTCAATGTTCCCCTTTTTTTAGTAAAGTTCATGCTGTTATTAATTACTGATAATCCTGGGTTCGAGAGTGGTCCATAATGGTTAGCGTATTAGAATGGGATCGAGACGTGGCACTATCAAACACGCTTCGCATTATCAGCTGTGGTTGTACTATAAGAGTGACAGTCAATGCCACTATTCAGTTACGGATAGTCGAATCAGGCGATAGGTATCGCTAACTGCTTGCTTTCCCTATGATCCACAGTTTAAAACTAGGGAAGAATATGACCGTCACTTTTTGTACACGTGTGTGTGTGCCCTCCATCGATTATTTCACTGAAATTAATAATCTGAAAGTGCGTGTCTCTCTTCGCTTCTAGACAACATTTTTAGCCAAATTTAATTCTACAATGGATATATTGGGTCCACGCGGTCAAAGGCTGGTAGACAAGACAATTTTACAGTTTCTATTTTAAGCCTCTCTAATGTTCAACAGCTGGAACCAAGACAGGGGAATATGTAATCCCCTGCCTTTAACTCTAAGGTTCCATCGGCTTTTAAAACATTTTCTTCAACTATTTATGCACCAAACTGCTTTGGGATCCATTACCATTAGTTACAGAGTCCCTAATAACATCTGAATGACTCACACATATACACAAATATTAATAAACATGTCATTAACATAGCATTTAATCCTACTATCTACTGCTGGGTTTCTTGTGTATTTTTCATTGAA